TTTGAATCAACTTTCTTAATGCTTTCTAAGGCTTTGTTTGAGACCGCTTTCTTATTGATTCTTAAAGCAGTTTTTTAATATAGAAAAATTAAGTTTTAAACTAGAAAGCTGCTTTAAGAAGCAGTAAGAAGGCCATACAAAATGAAGCCAAAAACAATATTTTAGTTAAAAATTTTTTTAAATTAGAATTTTTTGTACTAAAAAATTGTTTTATAATGAAAGCAATGAGAAATCTGTCACAAACGAAATCTTAGTTGAAAGCCAAACCTCCGAACCAAAATATATAGCATAAATTTAGACAATCAAAATTTGATGTATGGATGCATATTGTGAATTACCTTAACACGCTCCATGTTGAAAGCTGGGCTAATAATCCTCCTATGCTTTGCCCACTTTTGTCCCTTCAATCTAAACAAGCCATCTCCAAGCAAACACTTAACAAGAGGAGACTCTTGCATCCTCTCGAACACTCCTGCTCCACTACTTGTATTCAACAGCACCTCCTTCACCATCTCCGGCTCGGCGAAGGCTAGATGCGGCCGAGTGCCGAACCAAAACAGGAAAGTCTTGCCGTGCACGACCGACCATAGCGCGTATCGTGGATCCACCCGCCACAAAATATCGTGGCTGAGTTCCGGCATCGGCCGCGACATGGCCGCTGCGGTCAACTCGCGTATGTCCCTGGCGTTTCCGATGATGGGACGGTATGGCGGGCCGGTGATGCCTTGGCGGCGGAAGTGGAGCTGGGTTCGACGAGGGATCCATAGGATGGTGTGGAAGAGGAGGAGGAAGGTGGTGGTGAGAGGGAGGAGGAAGAGAAGGAGAGGGTGCATGGCCTGGTGTGGTTGCACCGTTGCACTAATATTAGCTTTGGACTAATTATGAGATTCTTATAGTTATCTTTGGGTTGAGATGGCCACTTTATTTCTTGATTGAGCATTTCACTCCTCTTTTCGAGGAGAAATTATTATGTACCGTTGTATATCGAGTGGCGTGACGCATCCTAAATAGTCTTCGAATTGTCCAGTGACTGCACGTAATAATTTTTTTCTTTAGAGAGTGATAATTTGAAGTCGTAGTAC